AATTTTTCTAATATGGTAAGTCACATATCTGGTCATATGCAAGATATGACATGAAGCCTCGCAGAAATCCTTTTAAACAAATATGTCTGAAAATGGCCACAGCCTATGGGTTGCCTTGGCTACAGCGGTGCATAATAAAACCTGACTTTTTGTTTCTTTGCTATCATGGATGAAGTTTATGGAAAGTACTTAAGTACAACACTGACCTCAACCTTTGCACAGCAGTTAGTTGTTACAATTGAAGATGTTTGCTATTGGCTTATCAGTTAAGTGATGGATGATGTAGAGCTTTTGGGTTATACTGGCTGGGTCCCCTTGTTTGCTACTAGTTACATTTATGGTACAGAGATTGCAGTACATATATTTTCAACTATAAGGGCAAATGTACTACCCAGCACTCAGCCAAAGTAGTCTGATCAGGTAGACAGATGCCTGGGTTACATTCCCTCAGACCAGGGGTCGGCAACGTTGGCACGCGGCTCGCCAGGGTAAGCACCCTGGTGGGCCGGGCCAGTTTTATTTACCTGCTGATGCAGCAGGTTCGGCCAATCGTGGCCCCCACTGGCCGCGGTTCGCCGTCCCAGGCCAATGGGGGCGGTGAGAAGCGGCGCGGGCGAGCGATGTGCTGGCCGTGGCTTCTCTAACCCCTGCCTCAGACTCTGCCATGCCTGCAGAGGTTAATTCAGCTCAATGGCTGAAATAACCTCCTTCAGCTTTTACCCAGTCCACACATGCGGGGAGAATGAGACAATCAGTGCAGTAGTGGGTCCTCCATCTTCATCACTCCTCTTGCCAATCTGTGTCCTGGCCCCTCCTCCCCTGCACCTTCCATTCAGGGTTCTTTCCCTGGGTTGGGCTCTGTGCAGGAGTTGCACATTCCCTATTTGCTACCACATTGCCACTTTCTCTCATACAGTGACCTGCACTGATTCCACTGCCAACAAACATTTTGCATTGGGACTAATGGCAGTTATCCCGTCATTTCTGTTTTAAAGGTGTCAGCTGGAATCTGGGTTGTTTAATGACATTAAGGGACTGATCCTGCAATGGGTCTGAGCATCCACAACTATTAGCACCTTAAACCTGTCACTATGGCTTTCATTTGGGCGAAGTTTGGAGACCTCTAAAACAGTGGTTCTCAAAGCCGGTCCGCTTGTTTACCTGCCGCGTCCGCAGGTTCGGCCGATCGCGGCTCCCATTGGCCGCGGTTCGCCGCTCCAGGCCAGTGAGGGCTGCGGGAAGCGGCACGGGCCGAGGGATGTTCTGGCTGCAGCTTCCCACCACCCCCATTGGCCTGGAGCGACGAACTGCGGCCAGTGGGAGCCGCGATCGGCCGAACCTGCGTACGCGGCAGGTACACAAAGTGGCCCGGCCCACCAGGGGCTTTTCCTGAACAAGCAGCAGACTGGCTTTGAGAACCACTGCTCTAGAATACAATTTTCTTTGTGGTCTCTGTTGATAAGTCTCACTTGGATTGCATTTTATTTCTCTAACGCAGGGGTTCCCAAACTGCGGGTCACAGCCCAAAGGTGGGCTGTGACGTAGTCCCTGGTGGTCCACTAGCACAGCTGCATTCTCCAATCAAGCTGGGGTGGAGTTTTTTTTGGGGGGGGAGGGCATGTAGCGGCATTGCCGCTTCTCCAAAAAACTGTATCTTTCCTTTCCATTCCCCTACCGCCCCTGGTCCTTCAGCGCAGCTCCAGGGCACATGGCCCCATCCACTTGCCTCGTCTGACAGAGCCTACATAGGGAAAGCTTATGGGTCTGCACTCAAGGGCTGGAGTAAACAGGGGGCTGAAAATTGAAGATGAGATCAGGTTGAGCCTCACTAACATATGTCCCCACCTGGAAAAACTGTGCAAAGAGAAGCAGGCACATCCAGCCCATTAAGAAGGCTCCCGGTCTGTACGTTATTTTGTTTTTGTTTACAATATTTGATACTTTTCTAACTAGTAAAGAGTAGGGTTGAGTCTTTACTTAAACAGCACAGACATTCAGATTTTACACTATAAAAAATTGAAAACACAATATAGTGTTCATAGTTGGACAAACATTTTGTTTTAAAATCAATAGTGTGGGTTTTTTTTAAACAATTTTGTTAGCTCTGTGTTGCTTATTAATCTGTTTTATACAAAGTTGTGTTTTCCCTGTTTGAACAACACATTTTGCTCTCAACATTTTTTTAAAGTGTAGTTTTACTAAAATTGTTTGGTTTCAAAGGTCTTGAAGCATTTTTTGAGTGCATATTGCTAGGGATTTCTATCATTACAATTGTTTACATTAAAATGAAAAGGAAACGTGCATTGCTTATTTACAGTGACATTTATATGTAGGTAATCATTCAAATTAATAGTTTTCCTCAAGAAGTGTAAATAGTGGGCTGCAGTGCCTATTGCAGTTGCACAGGTGGGCCTCGGAGGAAGAGGATCTGGGAACTCCTGCCCTAACATACCATATTTTGTGCCAGAATTGACATGTCAAGGAAGATTTCCAAGTGGAGTTTTGGCATGTGTTGGACATCAGCAGTAGTGACAATAACGGTGTGAAGCTAAGATTGCCTTCTGCAAGGGCAGCTCATCCGAGGGCTAGGGAAAAACATAAACTGAACAATAAAATTACAGGGAAAGCTTCATGTTTACTTTACTCATTTTACTACTGCAGGAAAAAAGTGTAATATACTCACAACGTAAACAGATGTGTTTTACATGTAAATAGAGTTAGTGTCCTTTGAAGAGGTAGCTAAGAGACATGGGAATCCTTTGAGAGGCTCAGGTAATAGCTATAATCCTTGTCAAGTGGTCATTCTCATCTAGCAAAATCCTCTTGGTATAGTTGAACAAACATTCACCAGTAAAGCTTGTTTTTTTTTTTCTGTACCACTGATGCAGTTGTTAAACAACTTCTTCCAAACCCACTTTGGGACTGAATTCAATCATTAATCTCAATACAATATTGTTGGCTTCTAACAGTATCTGGTTTAGTTTGGATGAAATTTATTACATTAACCCTTTGTAGTCATTTAGGGATTTTTCCAGCCACAAAGAGCACCACATGTGGGGTTTTGTTTGTTTGTTTTTTTTGACAATCTGCTATAGCTGTGGCCTAATTACAGTTCTGCTCTGGACACAGATAAGTTTGCCATCTTTTTGTCCCATGGAAGAAAAAATATTCAGGGGTTTTATGTACCTCCATCCTAGCTACTCTGCAAATTTCAGGACTGGTTGCAGTTTTGGTGGTGATGTACATATATTTAAATCCCCTCTGAAATCTGAGGCTGATGTAATCAGCTTTACAATAAGAATGGTTCAAATAAAGAACTTTGTTGTAACTCTTTCCCAGCCTGGATGCCTGTGCCATGAAAGGGTTAATAATGACTTAGTAGCAGGTTGTGCATGGATGCACTTTCACTTCCTGAATGTTGACAAATCACCCAAATATCTTTCTCTGCTGGACATATTGACCTGTCATTGCAATGATCAGTGGTTCAGAAAACTTCCTGAATTTTAAACCCGAGTTTTAACAGAAGTGGCTTTGGCTGCATATGTGTTTCCTGCAGTGTAATGGCCAATAATGTATCCGATGTGCAAGGGCAGTTCCTGGAGGCTGCAGCTATAATGATATGCTAAACACTTAATAAAAAGCACATAAATCTTTTTCTTCGCCTCAGAAATATGTGCCACAACACCTATTAATGTGGTTTTTCTACGTTTAGATCTCGCCAGTGTGCAACAATTCAAGAAAAAGTAAAGTATAAGATCACATTTCAGAGCATGACTTGGGGGTCTTGAATAATTACTACCATGTCAAAACTACAAATTATTGTTACTTCCATGATCTTTACAGCATTATTTGCATACTTCCGGCTGGTTTCTCTCTCTGTATATGTATGTGCATAAGTAGATATATGTACATACCATCCAAAACATGTTGGGTCTGATTCAAGCTGATGATAAACATAGATGTCCCTCAGAAAACCAAGTTCAATCTTGTAATACACTTCATTTTTTTCAGAGGCCCATATTTTAGCTTAAATTTGCAGTGGAATTCCAAGCATTGGGAGTGATGTTCATAGAGTACAGGCAATATACGGGCCTAAGGAAATCTATCCAAATTTTAATATGGATTAAATTAAACTGCTGGTACAATTAATTTCTATTGCCATCTCTCTTGGCCAGACAATAGCTGGACATAACAATAGCTGGACATAATCATAGTATTTATAACTCTCTATATTGGATTTGGTTCAAGATTGTCTCATGTACTGCTACAGAAGCCTCAATTGTTTGCAATGTGTGTATTTCAGTAAAAGCATCTGTTGTGCAATTCCAAAGATACGTTGTGCAAAGATACGTTGTCCTATCAGAGTATGATCTTGGAAATAATTTTAAGATCTAACTGAGCTATAGTGTCTTTGTTAGGACAAAATAATTTGGTTTTGGTTTAATGAAGCTCTAATTGTTCAGAAATGTAAGAATGTGCAATAGAAAAGTTCCAAAGTCCATGCTTTCCATGTGCATGCGTGCACAGCTGTCCAAGGTCTCAGGTGTGTGCAATGCTAAGTGTTTCCTGATAGGTGGCTGACAAGTATGGCTGGACCCCTTTGCAGCCTTAGTACTATTTGTAGTTGAGTATTGTCAAATGCCTACATGACCTAGCAGGAGTAGATGATGAAGCAATATAATGGCTCCAATTGTTCTTCTCTATCAGAACTCCCTGAGTGGTGGTGAGTAATTGGTTCTCCCCTTCTGGGGTCCCAGAGGGATCATATGATCACTGCTTCTCTTCAATATCTACATGAAACCATTGGGAGAGATAGTGAGATGCCATGGACTTGGCTGCCAGCATTGTGTCAATGACGCTCAACTCTGTATCTCATTCTCAGCTGATGCAACCACTGCTACTGCTCAAGTGTCAGAATGCTGACAAGATATTGGCTCTTGGGCGAGGAGTAGCTGTCTCAAGCGGAATCCGGGCAAAATTGAAGTTATAGCTCAGATCACTGTGAGCATATTAGGCTTGTGCTCAAGTCTTTCCACTGGCTCCCAGACCTCTTCCCAAAGCCAGTTTAAGACCTTGGTCCTAATTTTTAAAGCAGTTAATGGATCAAGCCCCAGCTACATCCAAGACTAAATTTTGATTTATGGGCCACCATGATGGTGGTTCTCCTTTAGGACAATGCATATTTCAAAGCCCAGCACAAAGCACCTGAGAGCTGGGGTCAAAGCATCTTCTGTTGAGGACATCCAGCTATGGAGCAATCTTCCACGGGAGACCAAGCAAATCAAGAGTCTGACTATCTTCAGGACATATTGGAAAGCCATTCTCTTTGAGAAGAAATTTCTGCCAGTAAGTGATGATCACAATTAAAATATTCCTTTTATTTCCAACCCCCTGCCAACTATCTCACAAAAAACAAAACCCTACCTGCAAGCAAAGCTTTGACCCTATAAAGGGAGGAGGGTCAGTGACTCTATGAAATTCCCTAGGAACTTTGCTATTGTTATTGATTTTATGTGGGAGACTATGGTGACGGGCAGCAGTATAAAACCCTAAGATAGAGTACAATCAATTTCAGTTGACTTCCATTGGAGTTAAGGATGCACAGTTTCTCACAGGGTTTCTACCATTTAAAACACATGGGCTACGGGAAATATTTAGGTTTTTTTAGAAAGCAATTGTATTTATCTTTAAAAAAATCACATAGTATTTTCAACAAGTGAGCTCCACTGGTCTTTTTTCCAAGTATGGGTTTCAGGGATGTTACAGGAGAAACATGAAGTTTGAAAGACAACTATTAAATATGCAATATTACTGTCTTAATGAACATTTAGCACTTTTCTGTAGCTTGTGAGGTTTCTGAATAATGCCTTGTGCATTCACTCTGGACATGGGGCAGACAGTGTCATTGTAATCTTATTTTTAGTGTGAAAACAAGATACTAATAAGACAATTGGCATTTTTCTTCCTTGTCTGTTTCAACTTTAATATCTTGGGCTTATTCTAGAAAAATAGATTCTTGTGGTAGTCTTTTAAGATGGTATCAAGACAATGGAAGAATACAAGACACCATTGCAGAAAGAGAGGTCAATGATGATACATACTATTATATTTTGTGCTTGAAAAGCAAGAAAAATGGAACCCAAAATAAACAGAGTATAACTTTTTAAAGAAATAGTCACAGGCAGCAGAATGATGAGGTACCAGGAGTAAAGTGATGTATCCCTTGCACCTTCCCACACACCGGATCCTTGAGAGGAGAAATTGCTTTGTAAATGCAGAAGACCTAAAAAGTCAGCCTTATTCTAACATGGGACTGTCAGCAGGCCTCAAATGAAGCTTTTGGGAATGATGAAAACTTTAAAATAGGGGTCGGCAATGTTGGCACGCGGCTCGCCAGGGTGCCGGGCCAGTTTTATTTACCTGCTGACGCGGCAAGTTCGGCCGATCGCGGCCCCCACTGGCCGCGGTTCGTCGTCCCGGGCCAATGGGGGCGGCGAGAAGCGGCGCGGGCAAGCGATGTGCAGGTAAATAAAACTGGCCCGGCCCGCCAGGGTGCTTACCCTGGCCAGCCGCTTGCCAACGTTGCCGACCCCTGCTTTAAAAGCTCACTTTTATCACGACACAGAAGTTCATACAGGGCTGCTTAGAGAGTTAATCTGTAATGACAGACACAAGCAGAGAGACTGGTTGTACGCTGTAGACCAGAAATCCAAAACCCTTTTACCAGTCCTGGCTTCTGTTTTTTCCAGTCTTATTTTATAGATATTTCCTGAACATTAGCAGCTGCCATATTAGCATGGACAAGGTCTATCTCCAATATCCTGTCTCCAACAGTGGTCAGTACCAAATGCTTCAGAGGAGTTTTCTGACTATTCTGACAATGCTTCTAATGGTGCTATACTGTCCAATGAGAAATTCTACAGAATATTACCCCGAATCAGTAGGAATCATAGTCCTTATAGCTTTCACAAGCATTTGTATCAGGCTTTTGGGAGCCTACAATACCCTGTTTCACACTAAGAACTGGATTCAGTGTGTCAGTGGCCACAGAGGGAAGCTGGCACAAGGCCCTGGGAAGGTAAGGTTCTGCATTGCTGAACTAAATCTAGTCTGGGCTCTGAGGAGAGAGTGCACAGCTTCATGGCCCTGATTCAGCACAGCATGTATGCAGGTGGTTATGTTCGAATGCAGTAAATGGAATGTAATCACATGCTTAAATGTTTTGCTAAATTGGGATCTATGTAATTTAAATACAGAGGGCCAGATTCTTCTCTTATTTACTTCAGTGTGTAGGTGGGCTCACTACTGAAGTCAGTCTAGATACTCTGGCTTGTGTAATTGATAGCTGAACCTAAAGGAGACTTCAGCCTTGAGATCTGTGTGATGTCTAGTTCAACACTGAAACATGGTGAGATACAACAGAACAGACTTGGAAGTTTAAATGATATGTGAAGTTATTTTTTGTTATAGCTGAATTTACTGCGTTGACATACAATCCACACCAACCCTTTGGGGCAGGTAAGCTTTTTGCAGAAGAGTAGAGACAGAGCCACAGACCCAGTGAAGTGATTTCTCCAAGGTCACACAGAATGTGAGCAGTAGAGCTGGGAATAGAGTCCAGGAGTTTTGGCTCCCAGTCCCCAGGTCTAACCATGCGGCAGCACTGCGTTCCCTATCTTTGGAAAAACAACAACCCCAAAGTAAAGAGGCTGCCTGTATCTTTTTAAATATTATGATACATTTCAAGGAAGCTGCACAACTCTTGTGATGTAATATGATTAAATCTGTTGCAAGAATTATGCTCTGGAGCAATTTATTGTTTTTTTACATTATGGAGTCTCTGTGACTGGAGTACTGTATGAATGCCTGAATTTAATTTGATGAATAAGAGTTGCTGCGTGCTTGAGCATCATGTTCTATCTATCTCTGACATTAGGGCAGTATTTCCCTGACACCATTTGCTTCAAGCCCTTGGGGGAAAGTCTTTCTTTTGGAATGTTCTTTTAATCATGACACATGTTTTTTGTTTCTGGACTTTACACATTAACTTTGAACTTCAGAAGGATGTGAGAAGCATAGACTTCTATTACATGGTTTGGCTCTCAGCCCACAGAAACTAGCAACAGCCACCTTCATTTCATTAAAAACAAAATTTGAAGAATTTTAGGGTCATAACCATCAATCTATCATCACAGTTTTCTCAAGGAGGCATGCAATACTCAAAAAATAAAATATAAGGAAGGAAAATTGCTGAATGAGGTAGGTCATCTTAGGAGATTTTTGATGAAAGCATTAAAGCTTTCTGTTTAAGTTTCTGTAATGGAGTCAACAAAGCATCAGATGTGCAAACTGTTTTGAAAAGGCTGAGCAGTACTGTATATTGCTGGATCTTGATTTAACTTTGGTAATACACATTTTATAGAAAAGCTGTTGGTACTCTACCCGTGAAGATATTGTTTTCCTACTTTAAGAACTGCCACTCAGGAGATTTGATTTTTATTATATGTTCCTCATCCCTTTGAAATACAACACTTCAATTAGCCCCAGGATAATTTAAAATAGAATGCTGGTTTCATACTTGTCTACCACACCAAATAGCCTAACTTTTAGCAAATTAACTGTAACTTCTCTTAGAAAATACCCATAGCATTGTGTCTAGCTCAATACACAGTATTGTTAAAAAATAAGAGTGGTTTGAATGTCTCAACAATGGGATAGAAAATCATACTCAAAATTAGAGCTGCTCAGAAAAATGTTGACCAAAAAAAAAGTTTTAATGGAAATCAAATGTTGTGAACATTTTCACTCTCCCCATACACCCCTTATTTTTGATCCCCTCCACTGAAAATATTGTAGTCCTTTTATATAAATTGATGGCTCACTCTTACCTGGAATATTATGTTCAGGGACCTGACCCCTTCTCAAAATTAGAAATGGAGGAAATTGAAAATGTCCAGAGATGGGTGACAAAAATTATTAGAGCCATGTAGAGACTTCTGTATGAGGAGAGATTGAGAAGACCTAGATAGTTTAGTTGAGAGGAGAGATGAGAACACAAAATATGGAATGGTAGAGAAGAGATAAATCAGGTGCTCCTGTTTACCTTTTCTCATAAAACAAAAATAAGGGAATAGAATAAAACTGAAAGACAATATATTTAAAGATGAGAAAAGGAAATTTTCTACACCATATTTAATTAGTTGGCAAAACTCCTTGCCACTACATATCATAAAACCTTATGTAAATAATGAGATGATCCACACTTACAATGAATCCACAATTATTTCTTATAGGACAAAGTTATCAAGGATGTGAGCCCTTATGCCTCAGGTCCCTTCTGGCCTAGGAATCTCTGAATCTATAATCAAATCACTAACTGATATGGGCTAGGTCAAGAAACTCCCTTTATGGGCAAGGTATTCCACTGTGGTGTTTCTTGCACCTTCCTCTGAAGCATTTGCTATTAGCCACTGTTGGAGACAAGAGACCAGACTAGGTGCACCACTTGCCTATGCTTATAAGGCACCTGTGATAGCAGTAATGTGTCATGTATGCACAGACTGTTTATGGGGATGATTTTGAGTTCTTATTCCCTGTGTAAACATTTCTTCAGGACTATTTATATCCCCTGGAAAAGAATCCATGGAATTTTCTGTGTTCAGTTTCCACTGCATGTTCCTAACATCCATTTTCTTCCGGGAAGAAATCTCAGTACCTTTTTGTTGCTTCCCTTTGTAGCTTGATTTCTGTAACTGAATAATGTTCTGCACAGTCCGTATGCTGCTGGTTGGTAAACTGTCGTGTTGATAAGAGATGCCTCTTGTTACCAAGTTCTCCATGACCTTTACAGGCCTCATACAGGGACAACTTTGCAAGTATTTTGTATGCTTGCCATATTATTTGCAAATCCACTCTTCCTCAATGCCCCAAGCCTAAAATTTCTATTATTGTGGATTTGGGGGAGTAAAAGGGGTGACTATAATGTTTTTATGATGTATTTTTTTTTAAATAAGATGGAAAATTGATTTTTTTTAAGGGCCTCCCTGTCGGGGGCTAGTTTAAAACATGATATTAACTTACTTATTTACTAGAGAGTAACATCTGGAGCTGTGCTGTCCATTTGCAATCAAACTCATTTTATTACAAAAAGTCTAGTCAGTTTCACAGAAAGCTTGGCCAAGGATGAACAGGTCATGGGGATTGAGAGGAAGGGATGAGCTTGTAGTTTTGCACAACACTGGAACTTAGGAGATCTAGTTCTGTTTGTAGCTCTGCAGGCAGTTCTGGTGTGACTTCATATGGGATAAATGATGACTTATTTAAGGACTTGCTTAAAATGGGGCTGT